CAACAGTTTTCTAACTCCCATCTCCCTATTTTTCCTTGTAGGTGAAAGGAAACGTGCTCAACCGTTTCTGCCCTTCTCGGGTACATCGTTTATGAACTGAGGACGTAGATCCCTATGCTACAGGATCCATTCAGATGAAGCTCAACATAAATCACATGATTTTGTCAAGATTTAGCTCCTATTACCAGGCACAAAATAGAACAAAATACGACCAATTTCAATTAAAGTTTAGCAGGAGATCGTCAAGAGGGTTCCACTAGTGTAAACTAACAATACAATAGCAAGAAGATCCCAAGAAGCTTCTCTGGCGTCTTTCCCAAACAAGGAGCATTTGCAAAGGAAGAGAATACAGGAATAGAAAATTGGAAACGGAAACTTGTACGGTAAAATAGATGAGGAACCGAGGCATGGGAAAATAAAGCACCCCCCTTCTCCCCCAACCAGCAATGACCCCCCCCTCCTTCAATGATGAGGTCACGAGATACCAAATCAGCCACCCAGACTTCCGAAGTCGACTACACAGGTACACGCGAACACGTCAAGCACCACACTGTCAGTAACTGAACCCACCTGCAACACGCTCTCACCCACGCTCTCCCCCCCCATGTCCTCCTCCACGCCCTCACCCACCCACTGCCACCCTTACCTCATCATGTGACCAGAAAAGAAAAGGGTGTCAGCCACCTGAACAGTGCCAGTTTGTGTAATCTCTCGGACAATGCCAGTTTGAGTCAGCCACCTAACTATGCCTGTTTGCGTCAGCCCTCTGACGATGCCTGTATGAGCGAGTCCTAACAGTGCCTGATTGCGTCAGCCCTATAGCAATATGAATGTCAGTTTGTGTGAGCCCCTATGACAATGTGTGTCAGTTTGCGTCAATTCTCTCTTACATGATATTATACATTAATACATTTATCAAGTCCACAACGATAAAATGATGCTGTGGACTTGCCAAGTATTCCCTCTCCCCTCAGATCAATGCGAAATAATTTCTTAACCCCTAATGGTCTTGCTAAATAATTCCTCGTCTCTCTCTCCTAATTATTCCTTAGCTCTAAAATCCTCATCAAATTAACTTTCACTTCATAGATCTTAGGCAAATTTACCGGAAGGCTCCCCTATGTCCCATTTATGAGGTCACATGTCGTCTCACGCTACGTTTATGAGGTCACATGTCGTCTCACGCTACGTATATGAGGTCACATGTCGTCTCACTCTACGTTTATGAGGTCACATGTCGTCCCACGCTACGTTTATGAGGTCCCATGTCGTCTCACGCTACGTTTATGAGGTCACCCGCCGTAGAGAGACTCGCGTGAATCTCTAAACGAATCGTTAAGTTTCCCGGAGTTTCTGGGATTAGAGTTTGTGTTGGATATTATAAAACGTTAACGCTGGGGAGATGAGTCAGGAGCATCACCCTACTGTAGCAGAAATATCCACCTTCACTATCACTACTGACACACCCACCATCACTCCCCACTATCACTGTAACCACTGAAACACTATATCCACCGCCATAGCAACACACACCACTACAACCACAACTACCACCCCTAGCAACACACCACAATAACCCCCCCTACCAACACCACAATAACCACAACTACCACCATAGCAACACAATACAGTCTGGTCCCCCCCCTACAGCAGTTGACAATCACCATTAAGGAGTCTCGCTAAATCTTCATTGTGAGTGTTATGTAACGTTGCAATGCAGGATTCCCACTGATAATATTCAGCTCAAATAGAGCTCCCAGAGTGCTTTATGGCTGGGTTTGGTGTTCAATTGCCCAACACAGTTTCTCACCCCCAGCCACCGTGAGTTTCACACTATGCTCTTTGGCATACTATAGTCCCCTGACACCATGCTACTTGGATTATATATATATATATATAATATATATATATATATATATATATATATATATATATATATATATATATATATATATATAATATATATATATATATATATACACACAGTATATCTGTTCCCTCTTAGAGATATAGATATATAACCCAGTCCAGTATGCATAACTGACATTTGTATATGTATGATCCAATGAATATCCCTACAATATATTTATACACGAGTCTATTGAATATATTGTTATGATCTGGGGACGTACTGTGTACATGCAGGTCTCCTCGATGGCAGGGTGCGGGTGGAGGAAGGGGAACCTCTCCTTGACGTAGGTCTTCGTCGCCTCCTTTATATCCCTGTTATCCCCTTCGTCACGTTCCTCCGGCTTGACCTCTGGGCCCCCGTGGTACACCACCTGTGGGAAGGAGGGACGGGCAGGGAAGTAGACAACAGAACTATCAGAAGAGAGTGCCAAGCCATTACGACTATATAGCACTGGGAAGGGGTCAGGATAAGGATTTGGGATGGGACGGGTGGGGGGAAAGGAATGGTGCCCCAACCACTTGGACGGTCGGGGATTAAACGCCGACCTGCATGAAGCGAGACCGTCACTCTACCGTCCAGCCCGAGTGGTTGGGTTAGCAGAAGTCGTTGAAGGCACTAGGGAAAATATACATGAAAATGCTCAGTGTGTATGACTTTACATGTTCTATGACTTGTGACGAACGCGGCAGGATGAAAGTGCTATCTGATCTGGTACTCTTCCTTCCTGGCGAAATATCGACACGGCCATGGCGTCTCAGGCAGCCGACAGGCAGAGCATTTCCTAGCAGTGGCACAGGAAGATGACCAAAGTCAGACCCAGTCACCTTGAGTGAAGGCTTAAAGCCTAATCCTATTATGAGAGAGGGTTAAAGCCTCACCTAGTCACGCAGGTCGAGGGCTACATCTATCTTAGAAAAGTATAAGAATTTTTGTTTACATGTTTGTTTTTTTAAATATTAAGCTGTGTAAACAGTTCCAAAAGTTGTCGTGGGGGTCTGAACGTGTCCCTGACATGCTCTTCCCATTCCAAGTCCCCTGTACACTTTTGTATAATTTTACAATTTTGTACAACTTTGTACAATTTTACAATTTGTATAATTTTACAATCTTGTACAACTTTGTACAATTTTACAATTTTGTACAATTTTGAATTGTTCTGTGGGCGTGTGTACCTCTAGCCCCATGTACCTGTCGATGATGCTGAGCTGAGGTCATGATGTACAATGATTTTTGTCATATATGTGCTCGTGATGTATACATATAATCAATACCCTATAAGAAAAATACTTGTAACTTCGAGAAACATGTTTTTTCAATACCTGTCAAACAATTCAAAATTTTGTAGCATTAAGTATTTAAATTACATTGAAAACAAAGCATAAATGTAAACACCAGAATATTTTTGTTCTTGTTATTTGGTGTATATTATTATTAATAATTAATATTATTAATATAATATTATTATTAATATAATATTAATATAATATAATATTATTAATAATTATAATTAATAATATTATTATTATCAATGTTGACGCGATGTTGTTGTCGTTAAAGATTCGCTACTTGGAACAAAAAGTTCCAAGTATCACGGGCTATGGTGAGCCCGTAGGACACGATGTAAGCACTGACCTTAACAAGACCCGGGTACTCGAGCTCCGGTAGTCCGTAGAAGTGTCCCTTGGGGTCGTGGTAGTCTATGAAGGAGGTGGTGGTGTAGGTGGGGTCGTCGATGCGCCAGTAGAACACGGAGATCTTCTCCACTCTGTCAAAAATCATAGTTCCATGACTGCCAACACTGATAGGCAACCTTTGTAATGATATTGTCATGACTATCACGGTAAACAAACACCGTACATATTATAGTCTAGGTCAGGGAAGGGCAACCATGTTCAAGTGAGCGCGCCAAAATCGCCAAATCCTCAATGAATTTTTTTATCGTGTGCCAACCGAAATTTTTGGGAACATCATGCCTTTTAAGTATCATGAAAACCTTTCAAATAATCAAATATCAAAGAATATTCTAAGAGTGATTATTGAAAATCATGTAAGATTGAATGTATGTTTTTAGTGACGGAATTTTTGCTTAACGGTTGCTATCTACGTTGTTGATAGCGTAGATACTTTTTATTAACTTTTAAGTGTAATTCTCGCTACCATATACACCCACACGATTTAAAGTAGCAATTTTTAACATCAGTAAAAAGTAAACAATAATTCAGATTTTTTTTATATCAAATCAATCAGCCGTAAGTTTTCAAGTTTTCCCAATACATTACAGTGCCCAATCGCATAATCGTTTTACTTTGCTGAAGGAACGTTTTCGTATTTCAACACATTACCAGGGAATCCAGACAGAGAAGATTGATGATAAAGATTAAGCCACCCAAAAGATGGCACGGGCATGAATAAGTGCCCATGGTAAGTGGTGGCCCTTTTGAGCCATTACCAGTATCAAGAGCTGATACTGGAGATCTGTGGAGGTGCGACTGCACCCTGCGTGACGGGAGATGTCTCCCGTGGACAGAGAAGACGGGGGTTTGGGATTATATACCCCACTACACTTGAGTAGATAAGGATCCATAAACAATTAAATGGCTATTACCTATTTCTTGGAATGTAATACACATACAATTATTCCTTACAAAATTTTATACCTATCATAAATCTTACCAGTTATAAAGCTATCTAATTTATAGAATCTTGGACTTACAATCTTAATACAAAGATCTAAACAATATGGATACAAAGATCCATATTATTATTATCCTCCACAGCAACATGCTCTTCGAAGCATAAAAGCATCGAAAGGATTGATCACGTCATCCATCCACCTATATGTCAAGTCTTTTGATCAAAAATACATCAAGGAGCCTAAACTTTCATAGTCCTTTTGTTTAGCTTTTGTCAGGTTTTGGGTTCTGAGGTGCCTCGCATGAAGCAAGCAATATTAATATGTAACATTTAATATTGTAAGAAAAATCATATATAAATGTGGACAAATATAGAGAAATCGAGATATAAAAGGTGAGTGAAAAGTGCATGTGAAGCGAATGTAAGAGGCATAGAGAGAGAGAGAGAGGGAGAGGGAGAGAGAGAGAGAGAGAGAGAGAGAGAGAGAGAGAGAGAGAGAGAGAGAGAGAGAGAGAGAGAGAGAGAGAGAGAGAGAGAGAGAGAGAGAGAGAGAGAGAGAGAGAGAGAGGGGAAGGGGGGGGGGGGAGGAAAAGTATAAACCTGCTTAAAAAGGATTAAACATTATTGTGTTGACATTAGCGCTGACCTGAGAGGAATATGAACCCCCAGCTTGGCCAGGAGTGGTCCTGCCCAGGGCCCGGGGCACAAGACCACAGTGCCCGCCCGCACCGTGCCCCGACGCCCCGTGATCTTCACCGAGCCGTCGGGACCCACCTCAACACCCTCCACCGGCCAGTTGTCCACCATCCGCCCCCCTGCCTCGCGAAACAGCCGCTGAGGGAGATAATAACCAAGACCTAGTTGCAGCAAAGTAATCATAATGGAATAAAAAACTATATGGATCATCATAAAGATTATTAGTTATACTGGCTTTGAGGTTTACTTTAATAATTGCATAATTACGACAACATAAAGCCCGACACACCTGGATTGCTGCTACACACTTGTCAGCCATGAGGACCCCGGCAGAAGTGTCAACAACGGCTAGACTATCATTTGGGATTGTTATCCTGCCGGAGGAATTAAAGATATTATTAGTCTAAATCTTCGACGAACTGATTATATAGAAAAAAAATGCAAAGTTTGGGTTTAGGCTATGATTGGGGGTGTTGATCTTTTTTTCCCAACCACATGATCTTTGACTGTGTTTGCTGGTACTCGAGCAGCACCGCAGCAACCACACACATGGTCCACCACTCAGCCACTAACCCAAACTTGCTGAGGACGGTGGCTGGAGGCAACCAGACGGGTGTGTACCCAGCTTCCTCCACCGACTGGGCACACTTCTCCAAGATTGGCCGCTGATCCCCGCGGCTCATCGCCAACATTGGTGCAGGTCTGCAATAAGCGCAAGCAGACATAATAAATTACATTATATAGGCCAAGTAACTAAAAAAAAATATATATAGATATACCATTCAGTTTAACGTGATCCAGAAAGTCAATGACAAATATATGCAGAGTCAGTACCTGAAGAGGGTGTCTCCGGCCTGCTCCTGGAGGCGCTGCCACTGGGTGAGGGCGTCCCTCATGATGGGCTCCAGGGCCGGAATGCCGTCGTTCGCTGTACGAGTGATCCGGCTCTGGCCGTGACTGCTGCCTCTGGTGTGAGGCACTGGGAACTGAGGGCAAGGGGCGAGTGGTCACTAGGAAGGTTACCGAGAAGAAATTCATGTTTTGCTACAAGGGAACTGGTCGACGTAGGTCTGGTTAATGAGAGCGAACTAGTGCGGCTGCCTATTTTCATTTAAACAAATAAATGAAAATAGGAAAATAATGAAAATTCTCGAAATTACACAGGAAAACGCCACGAGCTGGACCCATTGCTACTCCATCTATTTCCGGCCAATTGAGCAGGGGGACATTGATTGGTTGGTTGATGAAGAATTAAGTCACCCAAGAGGTGATACCGGCATGAATAAGTGGTAGATTTTTTTGGAGTGAATGTGATCTTTGATTACGGGCTATTCATGCCCGTGCCACCTCTTGGGTGGCTTAACCTTCATCACTGTGATCTTTGGTGGTGAGAGCGGAGGGCTGCGCGTTGTTGTTGTTGTTATAGATTTAGCTACTGGGAACAAACAGTTCAAAGTAGCACGGGCTATGGTGAGCCCGTAGTGGCCTTACCTGGCACAGGAGCGGGGCTGTAACTTATTGTGGGGCTGCGCAGTACCTGCTCGAGAAGTATGGTGCGCCGTCCCGCCCTGGCCAGGTGCAGCGCCGCGCACGACCCGTGAACGCCTGCTCCAACCACTGCCACATCTGACTCCAGCTCTGACGGGCACACACACACACACACACACACACACATGTGCCTCATTAATGACAGTAGTGAAAAATATCTCATAACAATGCATGTTAATTACAATAAAAATTACGTCAATGGCTTGGTGATGTATTGACAACGTGGAGTGTCTGCTGATTAAGGTCAAGATTCACCAAGCATTTATTTTACGACATACGAAATCTATTGATCTTTCCATAATGATGGCGGCTCTGTTTATATATATATATATTAAACAGTTTACGAGCTCCAGTCTTCATAACCCAAAGGTTATTATTGCACATAAAAGTCACAATAACGTGTCTGAAAAATGTTGACCAAACCACACACTAGAAAGTGAAGGGACGACGACGTTTCGGTCCTTCCTGGATCATTATCAAGTCGATTGTAGTCAACAAGGTTATTGTCGTTATAAACAACATCGTAATGCTTCAAAACTCGTAAACTCTTCATTAAAATATAAACAAAGCCGCCATGATTAGGAAAAGATGTAGAGGTTTCGTATGTCGCACCGTAAATGGTTGCTGCATCCTCGCTCAGCCTCTTTGTATCTTGTTATGACTTGGTCCGTCATTTTCAAGTAAAGTTGCCACTCAGATTTAATAATGTAGAAGTTGCTTAAGACATTGGGCATAATCCTACTGAAGCCAGCACACGAGGCAACAGCACTCATCCACCGCTTAACTTAGACTAAAATGAGTAACACTTCGCGGGGCAGCCAGAGGATTAGGGCCCGCGCAGGAACATCTCTGAAAACAAAAGTAGTAATCCTGGACATTCTTCCTTTTAAGTTCTTCTTACCACTGAACGCTTCCCAGATACGACGAGGAAAGGTTATTGGAACTAAACCTCACGACACTGGAAAACAAAAGAGCTAGGGAAGACATGAACACCACCTATAACATTCACAGAGGAATTGACAGAGTACGTAAAAACAAACTATTTTGCACGGGTGGTACGCGAACAAGGGGACACAGGTGGAAACTGAGTACCCAAATGAGCCACAGAGATGTTAGAAAGAACTTTTTCAGTGTCAGAGCAGTTAACAGGTGGAATGCATTAGGCAGTGGTGTGGTGGAGGGTGACTCCATACACAGTTTCAAATGTAGATCTGATAGAGCCCAAATGGCTTAGGAACCTGTACACCAGTTAATTGATTGAGAGTTGAAAGACGTGACCAAAAAGCAGCTCAACCTCCCGCAAGTACAACTAGGTAGGTATAACCAGGTGAGTAAACACACAACCCAACACAGTCACACACCCACATGAGGCTCCGTGTCTGAGTAGACAGCGCTTGGGTGTCGTAGTCCTAATGGCCCGGGTTCGATTCCCGGCGGAGGCGGAGAAAATGGACAGAGTTTCTTTCACCCTGATGTTCACCTAACAGTAAATAGGTTCCTGGGAGTTAGACAGCTGCTACGGGCTGCTTCCTGGGGATTGGGTGTGTGTTAGAGAGAAATATATGTAGTATGTATAGTAGAGGAAAAATAAATTGGTTAGAAAGGCGGGATCCAAACGCTAATAGTTCGATTCTGCAGACACAAATAGTAAATACACACTCTCCCTTCCCCTCCCCCCTCTCTCTCACTCTCCCTCCCAGTCTCATGTTCTTAATGAGCCAACAAGTTAAGAGCTGTTATCCTACATCAGTTCATCAGAACACTGATCCTCTACACTCATTTATTTAAGAGACTAATTATTAGTATCGAATAAGAACCAACTTTCTCTAGTATTAACGTACAATTATGTTAGGAACAGGATGAAGCTGGCTCCGACTGTGTACCAAAATGGTCATATGGTCGATTACATTTATTTCGTGCATATCCATGTCTCTCGTATTAGGAATGATGCTTAAGTTCCAAATGAAAGTCACCCTAGGAATGAATACAACTGATGATTCACGAAGATTAAGCCACCCAAGAGGTGGCACGGGCATGAGTAGCCCGTAAGTGGTAGATTTTTTGGAGTGAATGTCATTCAAACTGATGGAGTAATGTTCTATGTTTAGGCAACATAAAGTTGCTAGTGGCTGAGCGCCTTTTGTTGTGGCTTCCAATTATGAATTCCAGGAAGTTTGGTCAGGTGGGAAACCCTGAGAACATTGGCCTTATACATAACAGTAAGGCCATCACGGCCCATGCCACCATCATGCCCATGCCACCTGTTGGGTGGCTTAATCTTCATCAATCAATCAATCAATCAACATCTCAGGTCTTCTCCCACGGCTCTCTCACCTCGTCCAGAATGCTGATAAATTCATTGCCAAGATGTGACAGAGCTAGTTCTTTATATGAGTCTTTGCCTCCCCTGCTGAATATTTCTGTATCACCGTACTTGTTCTGTTCAGAAGGTGTCTCTACGTGGTCATTAAAGCATCACACTTCATGCCTAATACGTCAACTTTATCAGAGAGCTGTAGACTCTTGCCAATCATTCATATGTCAGTCCAGTTGCAATGTTGCCAAATTTTTGCCTTGTTATCATCGTTTTTATTTTCCGAGCCTCAAATGTTCCGTGCCATCACCTTCAACACTGGGATATTGTTGCGTGTTGTGACTGATAACTCACGGTTATCTACAGAGACTTTCCTCTCTGCAGGTGAAGGTAGAGTGCAGCCACCAGCTTACACTAGAGCTTCAGGCTTTAGTCCATCGTTGAAGTAGACACGTTACAAGAAGGGACCAAGCACTACCCTGTGATACGCTGGCACCAATTGAGAGGCTTTCAGAGAGTCGTCTTCTACACCGTTCTTGAAGGTAATCACTTGTCTGTAACACTAAAGCTGAGATACTTAGTGTTTGAAGCTTTAATGCTAGTAGTCTCTTCTCTCTATCACTTTTTCTATGTTTTCAGTCCTCTCTTTCTCTCCCACTATTTCCACACTTACGAGTAAAGCTGTCTCAGATATTTATCTTGTTCGTAATACTATCTTGAGTCTCCCTCAAGGCAAGTTGTGAAGACGATCCCAAGATTGCCCGCCATCACTGCCGCTCTCTCCAAGTAATGGAATGGAGTCCTGTGAGGCGTTTCATATATTGTGCGCTCACTCACTTCACTCTCCTCCAGCCAGTGTGTGTGTGTGTGTGTGTGTGTGTGTGTGTGTGTGTGTGTGTGTGTGTGTGTGTGTGTGTGTGTGTGTGTGTGTACTCACCTAGATGTGTCTGTAGGTTCAAGCATAAGCTCTTGGACCCTGCTTTTCCATTCTCCGGTTGTTTAATGCAATAACTCCGACTTTTAAAATTATAATTGAGTGTGTTTCTCCAACCTGCTCTTTTAGCGCATTCCATTTTCCCTCAACTCATATGCTAAAAGACAACTTTCTTACCTATGACTCATTTGAGTCTCAAGTTTCCATCCTCCTCTTCTTGGACTATTGGTGTTCATTTATGTTGCGAAAATATAAATACTCTGTAAGACACGGTCACTTCTCTAGTGCTTCGTACATTTGTCTGAAAGTTCTCATCATATTGATTGGGAGATGGCTTCTTCAATTACGAATTTTAAGATAATTTTCAATAGCAACATTAATGAATCTGCTATAATACATATTACAAAATCATCAAGTAATTTGAAATTTAGCAACGGTTTGTATAATTTAGATCCATTTTTGATTGATCAGTTAAAAGACGATTTAGGTATGTTCATTGATACACATTTATCTCACTAATACCATTTATCTCACTAATACCATTTATCTCACTAAAACTGAAAATTATATAAACTATACATAATGTAGTATTTTCCTTTGTAATATATGAATTTTATATTGTAAATTATTTAATAAACAGAAAAAAATCAAACTTTCGTACGTCTGGAAAATAATTACATAATATTACACAGGTGAGAGAAGTACATGTGACGAAGCACCTGCAGGTCCAGGCGTTCACAAGGTGTCCTATTCTGACACCTGCGCCGCGTTCTCTTGATGTGCCACTCAGTAAAAATAACAAACCTAACCTAACCAAGAAACGAACGAATCCAACCAACGAACCTAAACTATCGTGTCCGATGCATAGAAAACGTATATATATATATATATATATATATATATATATATATATATATATATATATACCGACTCTAAGGGCCACCACTTACGGGCTATTCATGCCCGTGCCACCTTTTGGGTGGCTTAATCTTCATCAATCAATCAATCTTAAATAGGTTGCATTTGTAACGTTGGTTACGAGGACAGATTGAAGAAGCCGTGTACATAAGTATGACCAGAATTATAATTCCAGCGAAGTTTGTATCATATAACGCGTAGCTTACCTTCCTGCATGACGATGAGCTCTCCGCTTGGCTCCGTAGCTGGGTTAAGAGTCGTAGCTTGTCGCCTGCGGTGTTAGTCGCTGGGAAGTCCAGACGCTGAGTGGCTAAAATGGCCGCTTTTGTCGACGTAGAGCACAGCAGGACTGAGCCACTGGGGCACTCTACACCAGGTCGCTCACAGTGGCCCGTTGATAGAGCGAGGCGCTGCCTTAAGTGATGTGGGGTGTTAGTGTCCACTCACTGATTATCAAGGTCACCCTGGCAACAACTGTGGCGCGCCACCACACACACATGCACCATGCATGCGCGCGCACACACACACACACACACACACACACACACACACACACACACACACTCTCTCTCTCTCTCTCTCTCTCTCTCTCTCTCTCTCTCTCTCTCTCTCTCTCTCTCTCTCTCTCTCTCTCACACACACACACACACTCATAGGGAAATCATGGAAGGGAGACGAACTCTGACTGCCAAACGCAGGAAATTCACAACTGGAACAAACACAGAGGATGGGATGGAACAGGAAGCCTGGATGAAGGAAGTACTCCAGCAAATGCAGAATGAATTCAGTGAAGGACTGAGGGTAATGAGGGAGACAGTAGCCAACCTGCAAGATGATTTAAGGGCAGCAAAGGAGGAGATAAGATACCTAAAGGAGACTCTTCCACAATACCAGGAACAAACCGTACCCCAGGGAGATGGGAATGCTACTGTGGAGGGGACCACCACAACCCAGATCTCATTTGCTGAAATGCTTAAAAAGAGCCCTGAAGCTAGGTCTGCGGTTAAGGAAGTTGCCATGGAAGTGGCTTCCTCTCAGGAAGCAGCTAGATGTACTAGCCGGCTGATAGAGAGAAATAGAGCAGTAGTAGTAGCAGGCATTGAAGAACAAACAGGGACCAGACCAAAGGAGCGGAGAGACAAGGACAAAAACATGATTAAAGAGATCCTTAAAGAGGTAAGGATGGAGGGAGCTGAGCGAAATGTTGAAAAGGTTTTCAGGCTTGGAAAGTACAACAAGGACAGAGACCGAATGATAAAGGTGGTTTTCATGAGCGAAATCGCGAAAGAGGAACTGCTAGCAAGGAAGTGTTGTCTAAAAGGTGTAGAGAAGTTCAAGAAAATATTCCTGCAGAGGGATATGACAAGGGAAGAGAGAATACGGACAGCAGACGCGAGGAAGGAGCGCAGGGAGAGAGAAGGAAATCAGAGTACCACAACCCAGAACCCTACAATCCCAGAGGGAAGTGGAGAACCCTCCTCAAACAGTGCAACAGCCACAGGGATTGGGGCACCACCCCCAAATTCTACCCAACAGACACCCAACCTGCCCCATCCCCTGTCAGCCCCCCACTAAGTACCCACCTAGGGCACCCTCCCCCCACCCACCCCCCTCCCCCCACTCACCCCCCTTCTTCCCCTCACCCCTCTCCCCAGGACCTCCCTTCCCCCCCATCCCCCATGCCCTCCCTTCTCCCACATGCCTTCCCGTCTCTCCCACCCCCATGCCCTCCCTTCTCCCCCTCCCCCCTAAGCCCCCCACTCTCCCCCACCCCACCTAAGTCTTCCCCTCTCCCCCACTCCCCTAAACCCTCCCCTCTTCCTCACCCACCTCAGCCCTCCCTTTTCCCCCATGCCCCCCAAGCCCTCCACCCTTTTCTCTCCCCCCAAGCCCCCCCACCTCCCCTATCCCCCACAGCCTCTCCTCCCCCCATGCTTCCCCAACCCTCCCTCTCTTACCCACCCCCAGTACCCTCCCCCTCTTATCCACCCCCTGTACCCTCCCCCTCTTATCCACCCCCTGTACCCTCCCCCTCTTACCCACCCCCTGTACCCTCCCCCTCTCCCCCACCACCCCAAGCCCTCCCTCCTCCACCAATCCCCCCGTGCCAGGTCCCCCCAGCTCCCACTCACCCCAGATCCCAAAGGTCCCCCCCAGAAAAGAAGCAGAAGAGAGTCAGTTTCAGGGTGATGTACTCGAACATAGATGGGATCACAAGCAAGACAAGTGAACTAAGGGAAAGAGCACAAGAAGTTAACCCAGATGTAATCGGACTCACTGAAACAAAACTCTCTGGAATCATAACGAATGCCGTGTTTCCCCAGGAGTATACAGTAATAAGGAAAGAGAGGGAAGGTAGAGGAGGAGGCGGAGTGGCCCTACTCATGAGAAGGGAATGGAGTTTTAAGGAGATGGCCATCCCGGGCTGTGAGGAGTTCAGAGACTATACATAGCAGGCACCATAACAATGGGAGGACCAAGAATAGTAGTAGCAGTAATATACAACCCTCCACCAAATGACAGGAGACCCAGTCAAGAGTATGAAAACAACAACAAGGCAGTTAACACTATAATTGAGAGGGCAGCCTCTGCTGCCTGTAGAAATAGATCCCACCTGCTCATCATGGGCGACTTCAATCACGGAAAGATTGACTGGGAGAACAAGGAACCGCATGGAGGCGAGGATACGTGGAGAGCCAAACTATTGGAGGTGGTGACAAGCAACTTTTTAACGCAGCATGTCGGAGAACCCACAAGGATGAGAGGCAATGACGAACCAGCGAGACTCGACCTAGTCTTCACTCTGAACGACTCCGACATAAGAGAAATCGGTTTTGAGGACCCAGTAGGAATGAGCGACCACAGTGTACTGGTGTTTGAGTACTTGATTGAAGAAGGGTTATTGAACTCGAGGAGGGATACCGAAACCAAAAGGTTAGCATACCGAAAGGGAAACTATGAGGGGATAAGAAAATTCCTAACAGATATAGCATGGGAAACAGAGCTCAGGGGAAAGACGGCCCAAGATATGATGGATTACATCACGCAGAAGTGCAAGGACGCAGCAAACAAGTTTGTCCCAGTCCAAAAGGAAAACAGAGAAATGAAGATGAGAAACCCATGGTTTAATCAAAGATGTAGGCTAGCTAAGCAGCAAAGTAAAAGGGCATGGAGAAACTATAGGAATAACAGGACACTGGAGAGCAGAGAAAGATACCAGAATGCCAGGAATGAATATATCAGGATGAGAAGAGAGGCAGAAAGACAATACGAAAATGACATCGCAAGCAAGGCAAAGACTCAGCCTAAATTGTTGCATAGCCACATTAGGAGAAAAACAACAGTAAAGGAACAGGTTATGAGATTAAGGATAGGGGCGGAAGGATTCACTACAAATGACAAGGAAGTGTGTGAGGAATTGAATAAGAAATTCCAGGAGGTCTTCACCTTAGAACAAGGAGAAATTCCAGAGGTAAGTGAGGGAATAGCTAACCAGGAACCACTGGAAGAGTTTGAGATTACCAGTGGGGAAGTAAGGAAGAGTTTACTAGAGTTGGACGTGACGAAGGCTATAGGCCCAGATGGAATCTCCCCTTGGGTTCTAAAGGAAGGAGCAAGAGAACTGAGCCTACCACTCTCCATAGTGTATAACAAATCACTGGCAACAGGGGAACTGCCAGATATTTGGAAAGCAGCTAACGTAGTCCCGATATACAAGAAAGGGGATAGACAGGAGGCACTGAACTACAGGCCAGTGTCCCTAACCTGCATACCATGCAAGCTGATGGAGAAGATTGTGCGAAAAAAACTAGTGGAGCATCTGGAGCGAAGGAACTTTGTAACACAGCATCAACATGGGTTCAGGGATGGCAGGTCCTGCCTCACAGGGTTACTTGAATTCTACGACCAGGCAACAAAAATAAGGCAAGAAAGAGAAGGGTGGGCAGACTGCATATTTTTGGATTGTCAGAAAGCCTTTGATACAGTGCCACACAAGAGGCTAGTGCGAAAGTTGGAGATGCAGGCTGGAGTGAGAGGGAAGGTACTCCGGTGGATAGAGGAATACCTAAGCAACAGGAGACAACGAGTCTGTGTGAGGGGTGAGGTCTCAGATTGGCGAGACGTCACAAGTGGAGTCCCGCAGGGGTCAGTCCTTGGACCTATACTGTTTCTGGTATATGTAAATGATCTCCCAGAGGGTATAGATTCGTTCCTCTCAATGTTTGCCGACGATGCAAAAATTATGAGGAGGATTGAAACAGAGGATGATAGTAGGAGGCTACAAGATGACCTGGATAGACTGAGTGAATGGTCCAACAAATGGCTGTTGAAGTTCAACCCGAGTAAATGCAAAGTAATGAAACTAGGCAGTGGAAACAGGAGGCCAGGCACAGGATACAGAATAGGAGATGAAGTACTTAATGAAACAGACAGAGAGAAAGATCTAGGAGTTGATATCACACCAAACCTGTCTCCTGAAGCCCACATAAAGAGAATAACGTCTGCGGCATATGCGAGGCTGGCTAACATCAGAACGGCGTTCAGGAACCTGTGTAAGGAATCATTCAGAATCTTGTACACCACATATGTAAGACCAATCCTGGAGTATGCGGCCCCAGCATGGAGCCCGTACCTTGTCAAGCACAAGACGAAGCTGGAAAAAGTCCAAAGGTATGCTACTAGACTAGTCCCAGAACTAAGAGGCATGAGTTATGAGGAAAGGCTGCGGGAAATGCACCTCACGACACTGGAAGACAGAAGAGTAAGGGGGGACATGATCACAACCTACAAAATCCTCAGGGGAATCGACCGGGTAAACAAGGATGAACTTTTCAACACTGGTGGGACGCGAACAAGGGGACACAGGTGGAAGCTGAGTACCCAAATGAGCCACAGAGACGTTAGAAAGAACTTTTTCAGTGTCAGAGTAGTTAGCAAATGGAATGCATTAGGAAGTGATGTGGTGGAGGCTGACTCCATTCACAGTTTCAAATGTAGATATGATAGAGCCCAATAGGCTCAGGAATCTGTACACCAGTTGATTGACGGTTGAGAGGCGGGACCAAAGAGCCAGAGCTCAACCCCCGCAAGCACAATTAGGTGAGTACAATTAGGTGAGTACACACACACACATACACACATACACACACACACACATACACACACACACACACACACACACAATATATTATATATATATATATATATATATATATATATATATATATATATATATATATTGTGTGTGTGTAATATATCATATATATACATGCATAATCTATATAAAATACATATATATATATCATGTATATAATGTGTGTGTGTGTAATATCATATATATACATGCATAATCGGTTCTCGAGAAACATTTGACTAATCACTATGCACTTGATAAGAATTTTAAGGTGGCGTTCAGAGAAGATAAGGATATCACTCAGGGCCAAGGACAAATACCATTGGGTGGTGATAGCTTGTTATAACGAGGCCTTCTCTTCTTAGTGACGCCTTATACTACTGTTACTCTACTTAGTGACGCCTTATACCACTGTTACTCTCGTTAGTGACGCCTTATACTACTGTTACTCTCCTTAGTGACACCTTATACCACTGTTACTCTCGTTAGTGACGCCTTATACTACTGTTACTCTTCTTAGTGACTCCTTATACTACTGTTACTCTCCTTAGTGACGCCTTATACTACTGTTACTCTCCTTAGTGACGCCTTATACCACTGTTACTCTACTTAGTGACGCCTTATACTACTGTTACTCTCCTTAGTGACGCCTTATACCACTGTTACTCTACTTAGTGACGCCTTATACTACTGTTACTCTCCTTAGTGACGCCTTATACTACTGTTACTCTCCTTAGTGACGCCTTATACTACTGTTACTCTACTTAGTGACGCCTTATACTACTGTTACTTGCACCAGTGAAATCACATTAACGTGATGACGTGATTTCTTTACGAGTAAATTACTGGAAATATAAAAATTATATTTTAAGAGAGTACACAAAGGCGTTTCCTCTTTGAATCCTGCTGGTATATTGGTATATAAAAATGTCCTCTGTGCCACGAGTAATTAATAACCTTCTTTGATACTACAATTTTTTTGCATCTTCATTTTCATCATAAAAATGAAACATTTATATTAAACATTTTCTCATATATTGTTACAAAAATTCCATTTTTTTCGAATCTTTGCAGTAGAAACATCAAAGGTTGCTTGTGCCTTGTTTCTGTTTGTTGTGTTTGCTGGTGTTTGGTTGTGTTTATTGGTGTTTGTTCTTAATGGTGCCTAAGCCTTACTGGTACTTAATTACCTGCAGAAATTTAAACTCACTACACGCAGAAATTACAACAGCGTGATGCATCAAATGAAGAAATGATTAAGGCAGCGTCTGGGATCCTCTCGGACGTAGATTCGAACCCACGTCACGGCCCTTGTGGATTTGTTCATTTAACTCACTAGAGAAACACCTCCGTCTCCAGGAGGCCACGAATAAAGGAAGAGGAAGGGAAGAGGATAAGACGGGTGGAGAAACATGTAAACACAAGAATAAACGAAGCGGCAGAGGTTCTATTGACCAATATGAAGCAGCTTCTATTTATATCCTAAACTCGATCCTGCAAGCACAAATAATAAACACAAATAGTATATATACACACACACATACACCTATTAAGGCACATTTACATTACGAACGTATGTTTCTGTATATACAGCCTTATACACTGACCATACATGGCCTTCAGTATACCGGCAATCTCTGGCCACAATAATATAAGACTGGAGGAGGTTAGTTGTCTCATTGCTTCCCTCTAATACTCAACTTACCACACTAACTCACTCCCAAACTCTTCCTTTAACCCTAAAGACCAGCCCAGAACTACTCAAATAGCAGCAGGGATATCCCTATGAGAGTAGATGGTAACAGTATCTCATTATAGGGGGAACAACTATTAAAAAATAATAATTATCCCATTAATCTGCTAGAAATTAAGGTAAAACCCATGTAATGATATTTTGCATTAAACACGACCAGAAAACATAAATCTAGAGAATTAAAACTATTTGTTCCAAAGATTTCTATCGCAAATTCATAGAAGAAAAAGATCCGGTGCTTTTTATATCCACGAGCCATTATTTTTTTTACGCTTTTGAATGAAACGCTTGAGAACTGAAGCCTGAATGAACTCTGGGTTTAGGTGGGTCCTCTGGTCGATGTAGTGTCCTGTGTACACTGCTCTCAGGTCTCAGTTATTAGTCTTTTGGAGAGTGTGTCCCTGGAAGATAATTTATTGTTAATATCAATCAGAACTATGGGCAACAGACGTAGCAAAAGCTCCAGCGGTAACAGAAGCAGCAACAGTTGAAGTAGCAAAAGCTCCAGCGGTAACAGAAGCAGCAACAGTTGAAGTAGCAAAAGCTCCAGCGGTAACAGAAGCAGCAACAGTTGAAGTAGCAAAAGCGCCAGCGGTAACAGAAGCAACAACAGTTAAAGTAGCAAAAGCGCCAGCGGTAACAGAAGCAACAGAAGCAGTGGCCATCGATTCAACTTTAAAATTTCATTCAAGTATTCATCAAAGATTTCTCCTGGTTAAATTATTGAATGATATTAAATTATCGAACTCGGTACTAGATAGTTGTGAACAAAGTTCACTACACACACTCATGTTCATATTTAACCAACATATGTTCAATTGCATCTCTGACGGGCTCGAGTTTCCCCTCAATGTAACACATTAGCACCCAAACACACCCACTTGTGCACATGTAAACTCCCTCACAAACACACTCACCCAGACAATGCTATATATAAACAATAAAAAGTACTTTACTACTATAAAAGCCTGTATTAAGAGGCATAAAACTACTAGCAGTTAGTTATCACGTGTGTACACACGGGCATAACCAAGAAAATCAGGGAACCCACTTTCAAAGTGGTATAATTGGACAGCGCCAATTACAGCAATAACTCCCAACTTCTGACACACATTTTGACTGATTACAGAAGACGGCAGAGACTTCACTTAGGAGCGCCACTTCGCTCGGCTCTTCCCAATTTACTGACAAGGGAGTTATATGAGTGTAAGTGAAAATCGATGCCTTGCCTGAGTCGTCCGCTTTGCCAGGGGTGGTCCCCCTTTGTAGTGGGGAACTGTTTTGCCAGTGGCGGCACCTCTGTCGCAGGCGTCCGCTCTGCCAGTGGCGGCACCTCTGTCGCAGGCGTCCGCTCTGCCAGGGGCGGCACCTCTGTCGCAGGCGTCCGCTCTGCCAGGGGCGGCACCTCTGTCGCAGGCGTCCGCTCTGCCAGTGGCAGCACCTCTGTCGCAGGCGTCCGCTCTGCCAGGGGCGGCACCTCTGTCGCAGGCGTCCGCTCTGCCAGGGGCGACACCTCTGTCGCAGGCGTCCGCTCTGCCAGTGGCGGCACCTCTGTCGCAGGCGTTCGCTCTGCCAGTGGCGGCACCTCTGTCGCAGGCGTCCGCTCTGCCAGGGGCGGCACCTCTGTCGCAGGCGTCCGCTCTGCCAGGGGCGGCACCTCTGTCGCAGGCGTCCGCTCTGCCAGGGATGGTCGTTTTGGCGTGGGCGGCCGTTCTTCTAGGAAAGTTAGCCGAACACGGGGTACCATGTTGGAACTTAAAATGAATTCACAGAAAAGGATTATCGAGGGATGCAAAAAACACTTCGCCTTCCCCTTGGGACAAACATATTGAAGAACAGCAGCATAGACGATGCTAGCGAAGCTAAGGACCTCATACATTATTCGAGGTTATTCATAATCCATACACTATGCATGTTAATTTTTTAATCTAATAATAAATAAATAAATAAATATAATAAATAACTTTTTATTCAGGAAAAGTACATAATTGATTTACAAACATAATGGATTAATATATAGAGCTAGTACATACAATACCTAAAACCACTAATACGCATAGCATTTCGTTCAAAGATGGTCATCTAGAAAGATGACCACGACATACAAGATACTCAGGGTTATATGCTATTGGAATGAAGATTGAGAGGCGGGAGCTAAAAGCTGAAGATCAACCAAAGCAAATAACAAGTAGGTGAGAGTCAGCATAGTGAGGGTGAACACCCATGATGAGTTTGTGTCCGGGGACTCGGTTGTGATGGTTGAAATTGAAATTGAAATAGAAATAGTTATTCTCTCTCTCTCTCTCTCTCTCTCTCTCTCTCTCTCTCTCTCTCTCTCTCTCTCTCTCTCTCTCTCTCTCTCTCTCTCTCTCTCTCTCTCTCTCTCTCTCTCTCCCTCTCTCTCTCTCTCTCACTCTCTCTCTCTCACTCTCTTCCTCCAGTTCCATTTTGTTCACTAACTTGTCTGTGTCAGTAAAGCGAGGGAAGCCACCCATCACTGCTGCCTCCTCCACCCACTCTCCCTCCACCCATCACAAGTTACCTCCACACACACAGTACCTCCACCCATCACTGGCTAGGTTAGGTCCTCCTCCCCGTCTCCACACACAGTATTATCCGCCCCCCTAACTATTTCACCCTAAACCTCACGGCTTCCCAGAGCTGTGTGATCAACTGGTACACTACGGCTTCTCTATCTAACCTTAATTGCTCCAGTGACATTTGCATTCGTAATTATGAGAGCAATCCGGGGCCATCCAACACTAATGAGGGCCCACCGGGAAAGGTAATGAGCTAGCTATGTGTGCAACATTGCACTAATTTCCATACCAATGTGGAGAAGGGTTAAGCTGGGGGAAAAGTTGCCCTCCCTCAGTCAAAGTAGACATGAGAGAGTTTCATTGTTTGAAGTGTGGGTTAGACTTATCTACGAATGGTAATTATTCAGGTGGATATTTCATATTCAGGTGGATACGAAATATTCAGGTGGATATGAAATATTCAGGTGGATACGAAATATTCAGGTGGATATGAAATATTCAGGTGGATACGAAATATTCAGGAGGATACGAAATATTCAGGTGGATACGAAATATTCAGGTGGATACGAAATATTCAGGTGGATACGAAATATTCAGGTGGATACGAAATATTCAGGTGGATATGAAATATTCAGGTGGATACGAAATATTCAGGTGGATACGAAATATTCAGGTGGATATGAAATATTCAGGTGGATATGAAATATTCAGGTGGATATGAATAGGAGCAGCCTCGTGTAGGCCTCTTGCGTTTATCAATATTCATATTTATTTGTCAATATATTTAATCTGAGCCCAGTGGGGCCAGATTAATTAGACAACTAATTATGCCCATACTACTTTAAGTAAACAAATATTAATCCAATCATTCTTACAAATGTCTGGTATTACTTAAGATTAGTGAGCCATTATTATCAGGGAAATGAATAGTTCAAATATTTATAGGTTCGTAACAGAGAGTTCAAAATCAAAATGGCCCATTATATAATAGAATCCACATCCAGAAAATACACAAAACTGTAAGGTATTCTTACGTCTCGTTCCCATGTTTGGAGGACAAGAACACAACACGAACCAATGGTTTGAAAAGCAGCGCATTGAGGGGAGAATAGCGAAAGGCTAATAAATACATAGCAAAATAGATAAGAATAATAACGTCAGCAGTCAAATGCGAATCAGATAAACAGGAATATAGAAGAATGTGAAGAAATAAGTTAATACTGCTAAGAATTCAAAAGATGGAGCCCGAGTTTCTGCTCAGCAACATCAGAAAAAAATACATTTGTGAGTGACATATAATTTGAGAGCAAAAAAAAAAAAAGGGAGAATTAATGGCAAACAAGGAGATGTGTGTGTGTGTGAAGTACCAAATGAAAGTACCCGAAAGGTATTCACCCTTGTATCTGACCACCCTAGGTACTGCACTGTTCCTGCAGGCTGTAGCCATACCTAAGCTCTGATCGAAATTATCATGACTTGAGGTTATCTTGAGATGATTTCGGGGCTTTTTTAGTGTCCCCGCGGCCCGGTCCTCGACCAGGCCTCCACCCCCAGGAAGCAGCCCGTGACAGCTGACTAACTCCCAGGTACCTATTTACTGCTAGGTAACAGGGGTATTCAGGGTGAAAGAAACTTTGCCCATTTGTTTCTGCCTCGTGCGGGAATCGAACCCGCGCCACAGAATTACGAGTCCTGCGCGCTATCCACCAGGCTACGAGGCTACATGACTCAAGACGAAAACCACCGGACGAGTAAGATACGACGGACAGCTGTAATTTTTCAGCTCATTTTCGCAAAGAGGATTTTTTTTTTCACAATCCGCAAAGAGGATTTCTTTCCTACCACAGACGTGGCCAGACATTTACAAGGCTAATTAGCATATATACATTTTCTTCTGTCCTCCATGGATAGGGTCATGACTCACAGAAGTATGGTCGCTATATACAAGAAAACATGAAGACATAACCTCTGAAAACTAGATTGACAAGTTTTCCTTACAGGGAACTTGAGAGACTTGCAGAGAACTTGAGAGACTTGCAGAGAACTTGAGAGACTTGCAGAGAACTTGAGAGACTTGCAGAGAACTTGAGAGACTTGCAGAGAACTTGAGAGACTGGCAGGGAACTTGAGAGACTTGCAGGGAACTTGAGAGACTGGCAGGGAACTTGAGAGACTGGCAGGGAACTTGAGAGACTTGCAGGGAACTTGAGAGACTTGCAAGGAAACTTGAGAGACTGGCAGGGAACTTGAGAGACTTGCAAGGAACTTCAGAGAATTGCAGGGAACTTGAGAGACTTGAAAGGAACTTCAGAGACTTGCAGGGAACTTGAGAGACCAATGAGAAGCATTATGGAACATCTACAATGTCGGACTTAATATAGACACCGAGATAAGTCCAGCGAAGGAAAGTCTTCACTTACAAGCGAAGGACAATTATCAGGAGAGAACGACACACTATTACCACTGTATAGCATTTGGGAAAGCTGAGGATATGCATTTGGGATACAAAGGGAGGAAAGGAATAGTGCCCAACCGCTTGGACTGGACGGTAGAGCTACGGTCTAGCTTCGTGGAGTTCGGCGTTTAATTCCCGACAGTTCAAGTGGTTGGACAGAAATACTTATACCAAAACATCCATCTTCGCACCCAAGTCCACACACACACACACACACACACACACACACACACACACACACACGCGCGCGTCTATCTATCCACACACTAACATATCCACACACATGCGTCTATCTATCCACACACTAACATATCCACACACACGCGTCTATCTATCCACACACACGCGTCTATCTATCCACACACACGCGTCTATCTATCCACACACTAACATATCCACACACACGCGTCTATCTATCCACACACTAACATATCCACACACACGCGTCTATCTATCCACACACTAACATATCCACACACAAGCGTCTATCTATCCACACACTAACATATCCACACACACGCGTCTATCTATCCACACACACGCGTCTATCTATCCACGCACTAACATATCCACACACACGCGTCTATCTATCCACACACACGCGTCTATCTCCTCCACACACTAACAAATCCACACACACACACACACACACACACACACACACACACACACACACACACACACACACACACACACACACACACACACACACACACACACACACACACACATCCGCCCGCCCGCACGCCAACACCCACTCACAAGCTCACAGTAATATACCCATTAAGTAAATCTTGACTTTAATTTGACCTTCCAAAAAATCTTTGACGCGGGATATTGAGTCGCAACTCAACACGGAGAATATGAAAAGCTTTTTTAGCTGCCAAAGCCAGAGAAAATCTCTCCCCAAATTTGGGTCCGACGCCTGGCCCAGCGAATCGTAAAATGCTGCCTATTAACCAGGGCTGAACAACGTTACAAAAAAACCTTTATATTATCATATGACTGAATTTCAGAGCTGAAATATGTTAGAACATCAAATTAGTGTGTCTGTGAATGCATCTTATTGGTATTAATTCCTTGAAAACACAACGCTAACACACTGATATTTGGACGTTGTTAATGGGTTAATATCGTTAAAAACTATAACACATACTTTTGTGGAAAAAACGATTATAAAACATACTTTTATAAAATATACTTTTGTTCTGAGTTTGTTGGGAAATGACCAATGAACGTTCAGAGATAATACTGAGGACTCACAGTCCGAATAAACTTGAATCTTCTATGAATCCTACACTTTAACCCTCCATGAAGACTCGTACCCACACTTGAACCCTCAATTAAGCCTCGCACACACACTTGAACCCTCCATGAAGTCTCTTACCCACACTTGAACCCTCCGTGAAGCCTCGTACCCACACTTGAACCCTCCGTGAAGCCTCATACCCACACTTGAACCCTCCATGAAGCCTCGTACCCACACTTAAACTGTATATGAGGTCAGTGGGAGGTAGCGAAGCCATAGTTCTATGGAAGTCCTGGTCAGTGGCGCCAGGTGGCACCCAATTACTGTCAATGGTCCTCTGTGAAGAAAATATTGCTCAAGCTCATTTTATTTACACATCAAGAGTAGAAACGTCTCAATAGCCTCTTCAAGTGGCCGTGCAAGTTACCGTGTTATCTGGGTACATTTACGTGGAAAATATAGATAACAACAGACGTTTGTGGTAACGTTTGCAACAAACAAAC